CAGACCTGTACACACAGACCTGTACACACCTGGATGATGGGCGCACACACAGACCTGTACACACAGACCTGTACACACAGACCTGTACACACCTGGATGATGGGCTGGCTGAGGAAGGGGCTCAGGTGGGGCAGGAGTTTGCAGTAAACGTCGGCCACGTTCAGGTGTTTGGCCACGACGGTGATGAAGCCCACGGCGCCGTAACGAATCCACAGGTTTGGATGGCACAGGAACGGAGCTGAGGACGACGCACACGTTTAACACAAAGCAACACACAACACACAACCATAACAGAAGCACAAATGTGAGACGACAAAGGGTTGTGCGTCTGAGGAGCAGATATGTGTTTCTCTTGTACATTCAAGTTTGTAAAAGTTGGTCCATGTGAAGCTCTGAGACGGTTTGTGTCTCTGATGCTCCTGCTGCAAACTTCAAGTCAAAACACAACCTGAACCCAAACATTTGTTCTGTGTGTGTGTGTGTGTGTGCATGTGTGTGTTGTGTGTGTGTGTGTGTGTGTTTGTGTGTGTGTTGTGTGCATGTGTGTGTTTGTGTGTGTGTTGTGTGTGTGCATGTGTGTGTGTTGTGTGTGTGTGTGTGTGTGTTGTGTGCATGTGTGTGTTTGTGTGTGTGTTGTGTGCATGTGTGTGTTTGTGTGTGTGTTGTGTGTTGTGTGCATGTGTGTGTTTGTGTGTGTGTTGTGTGCATGTGTGTGTTTGTGTGTGTGTTGTGTGTTGTGTGCATGTGTGTGTTTGTGTGTGTGTTGTGTGCATGTGTGTGTTTGTGTGTGTGTTGTGTGCATGTGTGTGTTTGTGTGTGTGTGTGTGTTGTGTGCATGTGTGTGTGTGTGTGTGTGTGCATTGTGTGTGTGTGTGTTGTGTGTGTGTGTGTGTGTGTGTTGTGTGCATGTGTGTGTTTGTGTGTGTGTTGTGTGCATGTGTGTGTTTGTGTGTGTGTTGTGTGCATGTGTGTGTTTGTGTGTGTGTTGTGCATGTGTGTGTTTGTGTGTGTGTGTGTGTTGTGCATGTGTGTGTTGTGTGTGTGTGTTGTGTGCATGTGTGTGTTTGTGTGTGTGTTGTGCGTTCATACCGATGTCGGACACAAACTCGTTGATGTGTTGTCTCTGGAGGAGGCCCAGGTCGCACATACACGTCAGAGCGTTCAGAGTTTTGTAAATCACAAACTCCTCGGTGTCGCTGAGGCCCTGCTGCAGGAGCGGCTTCAGGATCGACGAGCTCTGCCAGCCCACGTACGCCGCCACGCCTACGACAAACACACAGAGTCACAGCCCACGTACGCCGCCACGCCTACGACAAACACACAGAGAGTCACAGCCCACGTACGCCGCCACGCCTACGACAACACACAGAGTCACAGCCCACGTACGCCGCCACGCCTACGACAAACCACACAGAGTCACAGCCACGTACGCCGCCACGCCTACGACAAACACACAGAGTCACAGCCCACGTACGCCGCCACGCCTACGACAAACACACAGAGAGTCACAGCCACGTACGCCGCCACGCCTACGACAAACAACACAGAGTCACAGCCCACGTACGCGCCCACGCCTACGACAAACACACAGAGAGTCACAGCCACGTACGCGTACGCCGCCACGCCTACGACAAACACACACAGAGAGTCACAGCCCACGTACGCCGCCACGCCTACGACAAACACACAGAGAGTCACAGCCCACGTACGCCGCCACGCCTACGACAAACACACAGAGTCACAGCCCACGTACGCCGCCACGCCCACGACAAACACACAGAGAGTCACAGCCCACGTACGCCGCCACGCCTACGACAAACACACAGAGTCACAGCCCACGTACGCCGCCACGCCCACGACAAACACACAGAGAGTCACAGTCCACGTACGCCGCCACGCCTACGACAAACACACAGAGTCACAGCCCACGTACGCCGCCACGCCTACGACAAACACACAGAGAGTCACAGCCCACGTACGCCGCCACGCCTACGACAAAACACAGAGAGTCACACACGCCGCACACGCCTACGACAAACACACAGTCACAGCCCACGTACGCCGCCACGCCTACGACAAACACACAGAGTCACAGCCCACGTACGCCGCCACGCCTACGACAACACACAGAGAGTCACAGTCACACGCCGCCCACGCCTACGACAAACACACAGAGAGTCACAACCCACGTACGCCGCCACGCCTACGACAAACACACAGAGAGTCACAGTCCACGTACGCCGCCCACGCCTACGACAAACACACAGAGAGTCACAGTCCACGTACGCCGCCACGCCTACGACAAACACACAGAGAGTCACAGCCCACGTACGCCGCCACGCCTACGACAAAACACACAGAGTCACAGCCCACGTACGCCGCCACGCCTACGACAAACACACAGAGTCACAGCCCACGTACGCCGCCACGCCTACGACAAACACACAGAGAGAGTCACAGCCCACGTACGCCGCCACGCCTACGACAAACACACAGAGTCACAGCCCACGTACGCCGCCACGCCTACGACAAACAAACACACAGAGTCACAGCCCACGTACGCCGCCACGCCTACGACAAACACACAGAGAGTCACAGCCCACGTACGCCGCCACGCCTACGACAAACACACAGAGAGTCACAGCCCACGTACGCCGCCACGCCACGACAAACACACAGAGAGTCACAGCCCACGTACGCCGCCACGCCTACGACAAACACACAGAGAGTCACAGCCCACGTACGCCGCCACGCCTACGACAAACACACAGAGAGTCACAGCCCACGTACGCCGCCACGCCTACGACAAACACACAGAGAGTCACAGCCCACGTACGCCGCCACGCCTACGACAAACACACAGAGAGTCACAGCCCACGTACGCCGCCACGCCTACGACAAACACACAGAGAGTCACAGTCCACGTACGCCGCCACGCCTACGACAAACACACAGAGAGTCACAGCCCACGTACGCCGCCACGCCTACGACAAACACACAGAGAGTCACAGTCCACGTACGCCGCCACGCCTACGACAAACACACAGAGTCACAGCCCACGTACGCCGCCACGCCTACGACACACAGAGTCACAGCCACGTACGCCGCCACGCCTACACAAACACACACAGAGAGTCACAGCCCACGTACGCCGCCACGCCTACGACAAACACACAGAGAGTCACAGCCCACGTACGCCGCCACGCCTACGACAAACACACAGAGAGTCACAGCCCACGTACGCCGCCACGCCTACGACAAACACACAGAGAGTCACAGCCCACGTACGCCGCCACGCCTACGACAAACACACAGAGAGTCACAGCCCACGTACGCCGCCACGCCTACGACAAACACACAGAGTCACAGCCCACGTACGCCGCCACGCCTACGACAAACACACAGAGAGTCACAGCCCACGTACGCCGCCACGCCTACGACAAACACACAGAGTCACAGCCCACGTACGCCGCCACGCCTACGACAAACACACAGAGTCACAGCCCACGTACGCCGCCACGCCTACGACAAACACACAGAGAGTCACAGCCACGTACGCCGCCACGCCTACAACAAACACACAGAGTCACAGCCCACGTACGCCGCCACGCCTACGACAAACACACAGAGAGTCACAGCCCACGTACGCCGCCACGCCTACGACAAAACACACAGATCCACAGCCCACGTACCCGCCACGCCTACGACAAACACACAGAGAGTCACAGCCCACGTACGCCGCCACGCCTACGACAAACACACAGAGAGTCACAGCCCACGTACGCCGCCACGCCTACGACAAACACACAGAGTCACAGCCCACGTACGCCGCCACACGCCTACGACAAACACACAGAGTCACAGCCCACGTACGCCGCCACGCCCCACGACAAACACACAGAGAGTCACAGCCCACGTACGCCGCCACGCCTACGACAAACACACAGAGTCACAGCCCACGTACGTACGCCGCCACGCCTACGACAAACACACAGAGAGTCACAGCCCACGTACGCCGCCACGCCTACGACAAACACACAGAGTCACAGCCCACGTACGCCGCCACGCCTACGACAAACACACAGAGTCACAGCCCACGTACGCCGCCACGCCTACGACAAACACACACAGAGTCACAGCCCACGTACGCCGCCACGCCCACGACAAACACACAGAGTCACAACCCACGTACGCCGCCCACGCCTACGACAAACACACAGAGTCACAGCCCACGTACGCCGCCACGCCTACGACAAACACACAGAGAGTCACAGCCCACGTACGCCGCCACGCCTACGACAAACACACAGAGAGTCACAGCCCACGTACGCCGCCACGCCTACGACAAACACACAGAGAGTCACAGCCCACGTACGCCGCCACGCCTACAACAAACACACAGAGTCACAGCCCACGTACGCCGCCACGCCTACGACAAACACACAGAGTCACAGCCCACGTACGCCGCCACGCCTACGACAAACACACAGAGAGTCACAGCCCACGTACGCCGCCACGCCTACGACAAACACACAGAGTCACAGCCCACGTACGCCGCCACGCCTACGACAAACACACAGAGAGTCACAGCCCACGTACGCCGCCACGCCTACGACAAACACACAGAGTCACAGCCCACGTACGCCGCCACGCCTACGACAAACACACAGAGAGTCACAGCCCACGTACGCCGCCACGCCTACGACAAACACACAGAGAGTCACAGTCCACGTACGCCGCCACGCCTACGACAAACACACAGAGTCACAGCCCACGTACGCCGCCACGCCTACGACAAACACACAGAGTCACAGCCCACGTACGCCGCCACGCCTACGACAAACACACAGAGAGTCACAGTCCACGTACGCCGCCACGCCTACGACAAACACACAGAGTCACAGCCCACGTACGCCGCCACGCCTACGACAAACAGAGAGACGCCCATCACTCCCGCCCGCTCCGCCCGTCCCGCCCGTCCCACTCCACCCACCCGCTCCGCCCGTTAGTCCCGCCCGCTCCGCCCGCTCTTACCCACGATAGAGTCGAAGAAGGCGCCGCGCAGGTGCCAGTCGCTCTTGTCGTTGAGGAAGGTGATCATGTGACTGAGCAGGACGTCGTTGGCCTTTTGGCGGCCGAAGAAAACGCAGAGTCGGGTGATTCCCGCCTCCATCAGACTGTGCTTCACCATGTTCTCCGGGTCCGACAGGAGCGTCACCACCTTCTGCTGCACCATCTCGTGGAGCGCCTGGAGCTCTGAAAACACAACCGAGTGCTGGAGTGTTTAGTAGTAGTAGTAGTAGTAGCAGTAGTAGTAGTAGTAGTAGTAGTAGTAGTAGTAGTAGTAGTAGTAGTAGTAGTATTTGTAGTACTTGTAGTACCTGAGTCGTAGGTGTCGTTGTGCTGTAGTGTTTAGTAGTAGTAGTAGTAGTAGTAGTAGTAGTAGTAGTAGTAGTAGTAGTATTTGTAGTACTTGTAGTACCTGAGTCGTAGGTATCGTTGTGCTGCAGTGTTTAGTAGTAGTAGTAGTTGTAGTAGTAGTATTTGTAGTACTTGTAGTACCTGAGTCGTAGGTGTCGTTGTGCTGTAGTGTTTAGTAGTAGTAGTAGTTGTAGTAGTAGTATTTGTAGTACTTGTAGTACCTGAGTCGTAGGTGTCGTTGTGCTGCAGTGTTTCTTCTGTTTCTTCATTCACTTCCTGTTCTGTGTTGACGTGAGTCTCCTGAACCAACTCCAGGAACCTGAGAGCGCTCTCCGCCAACTGAGCGATGTTCTCTGAGGAAAAACCAGAACTAGACCGGGACTAGACCAGGACCGGACCAGGACCGGACCAGGACCAGACCAGGACAGGACCAGGACTGAACCAGAACTAGACCGGGACTAGACCAGGACCAGACCAGGACTGAACCAGAACTAGACCAGGACTAGACCAGGACAGGACCAGAACTAGACCAGGACTAGACCAGGACAGGACCAGGACTGAACCAGGACCAGGACTAAACCAGGACAGGACCAGGACAAGACCAGAACTGAACCAGGACTAGACCAGGACCAGACCAGGACCAGACCAGGACTGAACCAGGACTAAACCAGGACTAAACAGGGACTGAACCAGGACTAAACCAGGACCAAACCAGAACTACACCATGACCAGACCCGGACTGAACCAGGACTGAACCAGGACTAAACCCGGTCTCGGTCTCACCTGCGTATGCGAGTCGTACGATGGTGGCTTCATCTTGAGCCAGTTGAGCGATTCCTGTTAAAAAAGTTTAGTTTAATAAAAGAATATTTTAATTTTTTTATTTCATTTATTATTAAAGCAGCAGTGTGTAACTTTCCCCTGATCCTTCTCCCACTTTTGTCACATGAATATTCCCACACACAGGCGGATCTACAAACATCATTTTTTTGTAACTTATATTTTAGTCTTTACAAATCGATGTGGATTTTTTTATTTGCAAAAAAAAATTCTGTAAAATGTGATTCACATTTGTGGATCAACAGTGACACAAATTCACAGATTTGTAGTATTTTTAGACAAATTCACACACACAGACGCACAAACACACACAGGGCGGTGTCGGGGCGGTGTTGAGGCGGTGTTGGTGCAGTGTTGGTGCAGTGTTGGTGCAGTGTTGGTGCAGTGTTGGTGCAGTGTTGAGGCGGTGTTGAGGTGGTGTTGAGGCAGTGTTGGTGCAGTGTTGGTGCAGTGTTGGTGCGGTGTTGGTGCAGTGTGGTGCAGGCGGTGTTGAGGTGGTGTTGAGTTGGTGCAGTGTTGGTGCAGTGTTGCAGTGTTGCGGTGTTGAGGCGGTGTTGAGGTGGTGTTGGTGGTGTTGGTGCAGTGTTGGTGCAGTGTTTGGTGCAGTGTTGAGGCGTGTGCGTGTTGTGTTGAGGCGGTGTTGGGGTGGTGTTGAGGTGGTGTTGGTGCAGTGTTGAGGTGGTGTTGAGGCGGTGTTGAGGTGGTGTTGAGGCGGTGTTGGTGCAGTGTTGAGGCGGTGTGTTGAGGCGGTGTTGGGGCGTGTTTGAGGTGGTGTTGAGGTGTTGGTGCAGTGTTGAGGTGGTGTTGAGGTGGTGTTGGTGCAGTGTTGAGGTGGTGTTGAGGCGGTGTTGAGGCGGTGTTGAGGCGGTGTTGAGGTGGTGTTGGTGGTTGTTGAGGAGGTGTGTTGAGGTGGTGTTGGGGTGGTGTTGAGGAGGTGTTGGGGTGGTGTTGAGGCGGTGTTGAGGCGGTGTTGAGGCGGTGTTTAGGCGGTGTTGGTGCAGTGTTGGTGCAGTGTTGAGGCGGTGTTGGGGCGGTGTTGGGGCGGTGTTGAGGTGGTGTTGAGGTGGTGTTGGTGCAGTGTTGAGGCGGTGTTGAGTGTGGTGTTGTGTTGGGCGGTGTTTGAGGTGGTGTTGAGGTGGTGTGTTGGTGCAGTGTTGAGGCGGTGTTGGGGCGGTGTTGAGGTGGTGTTGAGTGGTGTTGGTGCAGTGTTGAGGCGGTGTTGGCGGTGTTGAGGTGGTGTTGGGTGGTGTTGAGGTGAGTGTTGAGGTGGTGTTGAGGCGTGTTGAGGTGTGTTGAGGCGGTGTTGAGGCGGTGTTGGTGCGGTGTTGAGGCGGTGTTGGTGCAGTGTTGAGGTGCAGTGTTGAGGCGGTGTTGAGGCGGTGTTGAGGTGGTGTTGAGGCGGTGTTGGGGTGGTGTTGAGGCAGTGTTGGTGCAGTGTTGGTGCAGTGTTGGTGCAGTGTTGAGGCAGTGTTGAGGTGGTGTTGAGGCGGTGCGGTGTTGAGGGTGTTGAGGGTGTGTGTGTTGCAGTGTTGGTGCAGTGTTGAGGCGGTGTTGAGGTGGTGTTGAGGTGGTGTTGAGGCGGTGTTGGGGCGGTGTTGAGGTGGTGTTGAGGCGGTGTTGAGGCGGTGTTGAGGCGGTGTTGAGGCGGTGTTGGTGCAGTGTTGAGGTGGTGTTGAGGTGGTGTTGAGGTGGTGTTGAGGCGGTGTTGAGGCGGTGTTGAGGTGGTGTTGAGGTGGTGTTGAGGCGGTGTTGAGGCGGTGTTGAGGCGGTGTTGAGGCGGTGTTGAGGTGGTGTTGAGGTGTTGAGGTGGTGTTGAGGTGGTGTGAGGTTGAGTGTTGAGGTGTGTTGGGTGGTGTTGAGTGGTGTTGAGGCGGTTGGTGGTGTTGAGGCGGTGTTGAGGTGGTGTTGAGGCGGTGTTGAGGCGGTGTTGAGGTGGTGTTGAGGCGGTGTTGAGGCGGTGTTTGGTGTTGAGGTGGTGTTGAGGAGGTGTTGAGGTGGTGTTGAGGCGGTGTGTTGAGGTGTGGTGTTGAGGCGGTGTTGAGGCGGTGTTGAGGCGGTGTTGAGGCGGTGTTGAGGAGGTGTTGGGGTGGTGTTGAGGTGGTGTTGAGGTGGTGTTGAGGTGGTGTTGAGGAGGTGTTGAGGGGTGTTGGTGTTGAGGTGTTGAGGGTGGTGTTGAGGTGGTGTTGAGGTGTTGAGGCGGTGTTGAGGAGGTGTTGGGGTGGTGTTGAGGTGGTGTTGAGGAGGTGTTGGGGTGGTGTTGAGGTGGTGTTGAGGTGGTGTTGAGGCGGTGTACTCATATAAACGTGTTCATTATCAGCTCTTGTTTACAGCTCACATTACTTTTATGACTTATATTTCTATTTTATTGTGACTTAACATTTACATTTATATAATCATGTTTTATTTCACACGTGTCTCTTGCTCTTTCTCGTTACTTATTTCATTTAATCATCACATTTATATTTTTTATCTTTGTTCTTATTTTATTTTGTGACGTGTGACTCTGGGTCCAGATCATTTCCTGTTGATCAATAAAGTTTGTCTCAGTCCAAGTAAATTAATAATCAACAAGGAACTGACCTCACAGACACTTCAGGCATGTTCCACCGGTGTGTGTGTGTGTCTGTATGTGTGTCTGTGTGTGTGTGTGTGTGTCTCTGTGTGTGTGTGTGTCTGTGTTTATGTGTGTGTGTGTGTGTTGTGTGTGTGAGATAATGAGAAGAGTCTGGAACATGAATGAATTTTCGACAAGGCCAATTCCTTGTTTATTATTAATTGTGACGTGTTTGAAATGTTTACACCAGTTATAAACCTCAGTCTGTGTAACTGAACGTCTGCACCAACACTGCCCCCTGCTGTCTCTGTGTGTGTTTGTGCGTCTGTGCGTTTGACTAGTGTCTCTGTGTAATTGTTGATCCACAAATATGAATCACATTTTACAAACAGAATTTCAGTTTATAAAAATATATATTGACAAATTTATTATTTATATCTATTTGTAAAAAACAACATACAAGTTAAAAATATTAGATTAGGATTTGTTCAAAACACACAAACAACAAATGAACGGATCAAAACACACGAACAAATGAACAACTGTTTGTAGATCAGCCTCTGTGTGTTTGGGAAGATTCATGACGCAAAAGTGAATATTAGTGAGGTTAAAGTGAATATTAGTGAGGTTAAAGTGAATATTAGTGAGGTTAAAGTGAATATTAGTGAGGTTAAAGTGAATATTAGTGAGGTTAAAGTGAATATTAATGAGGTTAAAGTGAATATTGACCATGTCGGGCGGTGACACACTTACCGGGCAGGATGTACTCGGGGTAGATGTTGGTGTCGTTCCTCGGAGCCTCCTTGACCATGCCCAGGACGCGGGTGAGTGTGCGCAGGGCCTGGGCGCGCACACGCGGCACGGCGTCGGCGCACAGGTGCAGCAGGTACGGCGTGATGCGGTCCAGGAGGAAGTCCACGCCCAGACGAGGCGCCAGCCGCAGAACCAGGTCCAGAGCCGCCAGTTTACTGTCGCACGAGTGAAGCGTCTGGAGGCACGAGGTGAGCACCGACACCAGCACCGTCAGCCCCTGCTCCTCCCGAGAGCTCACCGAGGCGTCTGGGGAGAGGGAAGGCTCCGGGGTCGGGGCAGAGGACGAGGAGGGGGCGGGGCCAGGGGACGGGGCGGGGCCTGCGGGAAAGGAGACCACAGAACGCCTCAATACAGGAACAGAACCAGCACTGA